TGGATAAGGGTGGATGAATCAGACTCCAAAGAAGCTATCTTTCTCTGTTTTTCCAAAATCAGTGAGCATATTTCACCCTTCGCATTCTTCATGTGCTCAATGTCTGCCATGAATCGTTTTGTTTCAGATATTGCTGCAACAATAATGAGTAAACAGTTCAGAAGTGTTAAGACAACTAACTGGAAAATAAATGTCAAATTAGATTCAGATTTCACTTCTCAAACTCAATACATTTAAATTATTCGAAATGCAATAAATGACGAATGCTGGATTGCAAAATACACAACTAACTGAAATAAAAAGAAAACTTAAATGACTGTAACATCCGGACTACTGTAAGGAAAAATAAAATTGAATTAAAAACCCAGAAAGGAATACAGCTTAGATACAGCCTGTTATGGAACCACATATGATCCATAATTGATTCCAAAATCCTGTGCGATACAGGACTTATAAAAAACAGAAACCCTTGCATAATTACGATACTCAAAAAGTTGAACATAGATCCAATTCAATTGAATGCATCTCAGGCTTAAATCTCACTGTCCAAGCAACAACTTCTCACTACGCATGTGACCAAGAATCAAGTATAGCCAGTTTTAGCATGGAATCAAGATAGACCCGATTCAACAGTATCAAGGATGTCCTTTAAAAATTACAGGCATTTTGTTCACATGTTAGATGAGGTACTGTAGTAGGAAGCTGGGATGCAAAGTCCATGTTCCAGCATTTGAGAAATAATAATACACAAATAAAAAGGTTAGATGATGTAGCAAGTCATGCTAGCTGATAAAGTTGAATAGTGGCCCTCATGTTGGTACTAGAAGCAGGAAATATCTTCCAACTTGAATTGATCTTCTGATGTGAAACCAAACTATTATATATGCACCGCAGTATTCACTACTGAAGTATGTGTAGTTTTTCCCTTTCCGAAATACAAGCAATTTAGAACATTATGCTACTTAACAAATAAATCTATTTTGGACATAAAAAAAATTAAATAAAAAATAAATAAAAAAAGCTTTATAAAATAGATTCTTAAAAATTCATCGATGATCAATTAAACAAAAATACTCACGAATTGCAAATTCCGAATTTTTTTAAAATTAAAAAAAACTGTATAGATATACGTGTAAGAAGTTGAGGGTGGAAGTTTAAAACAAATAGAAACTAGAAGAGATATTAACAAATAAAGTTTTGCTGAATTACTCTTCACAGATTATTCATAAATTTTAAGAAATAATAATATAAAAAAAACGCAAATACAAGTGATATAATCCGAATTAAGGATTTCATTCAGAAAAATTGAGTAAAAATAAGCAGAAATTATAAATGCGAACAGGAAGAAGAAGAAGAACCAGAATTGAGATCGTTCTCCAGGGTCTGAATGGTGGTCAGTTGCATTTGCTCTTCCACTGAGACCTTCGCAGCTTGATCCTCCACATCTATAATTTTCATATCAAAAAGAAAAAAAGCAATCGAATCATATTTGTGTAAGGTAATCTTAACAGAGATCGAAACGTACCGTTCATCTGAGAACGCAATGTCTTCATGTACTGTAAGTATTCCTCCATTTTCTTCTTCTTTACTCTCTTACAGAGAGCGAGCGAGCGAGCGAGAGTATGTGACGATTGGGGATTTTTGGAGGGAAAGTTGAGAAGTAGAAGATGGAGGCTCTGATCGCGTGATATAACCCCTTACTAACCCAGCCCAAACAAATAGTGCTAATCCCTGAGTTGTTGTGGGCTGATTTTTATTGGGCCGTAAGACAGAAAATTTAGAGCTAAGAAAAATTACTTTTTGTTTCAGAGTTCCCCTTTCTCGAACCTATGCTATATACATAAGTTTTTGCCTTTTATGCATGAGAGAGTCTTTTTTTTTTGTTCAAAAATATATATGTGATATTCTAATAACCAATTGGCCAACTGTCTAGAAATATATATTTGAGGGAGAAGCAGATTTACTGTCTAAACCAATTGGCCTAACTCACCTCTTCCAAAATAAATTTATTGTCTTAACCAACTGAGTTAACTCGTATCTACCAAATTAGTTTTCTACCTTCCCTAAAACAAAATAACTATTTTATCCTTATTTTTAATGTAGTTAATTTAGTTGAAAATAATTTCAACACATGTTAGAAATGGTTAAAAAATAAGGCCATATCGGTCATTAAAATAAAATGGTTTTTTTTATCACAAATGGTCATTTACTTTTACGAAATGATCACGAATGGTCCTTGGGGTTCTTTTGTGACATTAATAGTGGTCTTAACCAACTGAGTTAACTCGTATCTACCAAATCAGTTTTCTACCTTCCCTAAAACAAAATAACTATTTTATCCTTATTTTTAATGTAGTTAATTTAGTTGAAAATAATTTCAACACATGTTAGAAATGGTTAAAAAATAAGGCCATATCGGTCATTAAAATAAAATGGTTTTTTTTTATCACAAATGGTCCTTTACTTTTACGAAATGATCACGAATGGTCCTTGGGGTTCTTTTGTGACATTAATAGTGTGGGGGTCTTTTTGTTCCAGCAGCCTTTGTGACATTAATAGTGTGGGGGTTTTTTTGTTCCAGCAGCCTGACGAATGGGCTTGGGCTGCTGTAAGAGGAAAGCGAACAAAAGAACCTCTTGAAACCTGAGTTCGAGCAGCAGACTCCCAAAAGAATTTTTAAAAGACTTCCTGAAGCCTTAGAAAAATACGTTTGGGTTCTTTTCATTAATGACCAGAAGAACGTATTAAATTCGTTGATGACTTAGCGTGAGGAGCTTGTGGCATGGGAGCTAAGCTTTCACGAGTTTAGCAATTTGAGAGAGAGAGCAAGGCATGAGCTTCCTACAGAGGACAGAAATTAAGACTAGGGCAGAGGAAAATTAGAAGGATTTTATCTTAGGGAAAGAGGAAAACAATGGAGGAAGAAGATTGGGTAGCTTGAGTAAGTTTCAGATTGCTTGACAAAGCTTGGTCGAGCTCTGAAAACTGGGTTGGTTTTCTGGGTAGCTAAGGTCCTCTTTTATAGCCACGAAGAACCCTAATTTTGGCTTAGTTTTTCCCCATCTTTCATTGTTTCGTCCCACTATAACTTCTTTGGTGAATTTCTCCCTTTCAAAGCGCATGGGTAAGGAACCCTTCATGGTTCCAAGGGTTTGACGCAGCTGGACCTCCCCCATGAGGGTGAGGCACCACCTGCTTTTCTTATCAGTTTTCAAGATGGAACTCACAGAGGAAAAGAGAGATGGAGGGAGTTGTTTGTCCACTGGGTATTTCTCCTACATACATGGGTTTCCTTTGGTTCTTGCGATGGTTCCTTGTTGCTCACATGGGAGTT